GTTGGGGCCTGCTTTCGCTTGGGAGCAGGTGACAGCTGCAGCTCTTGCTCCCTCTCTTGCGCAGGGCTTGTGTCACACTCCGTGCCATGCAGGGTTGTGGTTTTTTTTAATCATTGTTATTATTATATATATATATTTTTTACTGTACTGTACTGGTTGTCGCCTCATTCCCCCTCCCCCCACCAAACACAATACAAAGGCAAAATGAGCCTATAATTGAGCAGTGTCACTATCTCCAGCATGACTCAGGGGTTATGAATACAGCCGAGCAGCCGCATGAACGGAGATATCCATCTCTGCGGGTTGCAGGCAGCCATGCTGCTTCTCCCTCCTTGCCAGTGCTGTTTAACACACCGTGGTGTACAAGGCCCATGAAGGGACAGCTGCCCTGGCCGGGGGCTCCCTGCCCTGGGAGCAGAGTGGGCAGGCACACAGCCCGGGGAGCGCTGTCACAAAAAGAGCTGCACGGCAAGGCTCACAGCAGCTAGCGGATCTGTAATTCATTGGCACTTGGACAACCCCCGACCTATCTTAAGAACAGGGCAAATTCGGAGAATTTCCCTTTGATGGCCGTGAAGGTGGGCAGTGGGGCTGTGGAGCATGGCTTGCAGGGCTCTGGCCTGGATCAGCTGCTGCATGTCCCCAGGCCTCAGTTTCCCCAAGTAATGCTTGAATGCCTCTGCTTCCACTTATTTAAAACAGAGGTGACGAGACTGACCTATTTAAGTGGCTGCCAGATCTAAGAGGAAAAAAATACAAGTTTTAGTGACTAACATTGTCATTATTGGGTCTGGATTATTCTCCTGTTTATGAAGTTTCAGTTAAATAATAAGGGGCGGAAAGTGTGATGTGTAATGCACCTGACCAGAGGCACATTACAAACAGCACACAGTTAAAGTGAACTGTTTGCAAACAAGCCAAAGCAGTGGGGCAATTTTAGCCCAGTTACTCAACAGATAACATATTTGGAATATCTTTGGGTTTTTGGGGGGCAGTTAGGCTCACAGTATTTAGTGACTAGAAGAAAGGAAGGTACTAATGAATGGATCACCATGCTCAAATCAGTACAAAAATTAATTGCTGCTATCCTGGGGAAAATGAACAACTGAATGGGAGCATATCAAAATGTTCTAAGTCTCTCAATTCATGCCTCATGCAGAGGAGCAGAACTTTTTCAAGGATTATCTTTTATTTGTGTAGTAATTTTAATTGAAGTAGGAGGTGCTGAGCAGGACAATGAACTGCCTTGAATGCTTGATGTGTCCAAGGCTACACCAGTGGCATAAGTGAGAGAACCTGGGTTCCCCATATCTCATTCAACGTTCTGCCAATGTGTTGCATCAGAATTAACCAGGATAAGAAAAAACGTTGCTATTTTGCAGGCACCCTCTTTCTAGCGCGTGATCAATGCAGAAGAAATCCAGACTAAAGTGAAGAGTCAGCTTGATTCTGGAAGCACAAAAAAACAAAAAAAAAGAAAGAAATTGAAGAGTAAGCAGTAGCTGGATCAAAGATGTTCCTTAGTGATAAAAACAGAGTCAAGGGTGCATAAAACTCTGGTCTTTTTCTAGAGGTACTCACATAAATCCTTTAGTTGCCCCAAGTAACTCATAGTTCAGACACTACTGGTGGCTGTATCTCTATATTACTAATATGCACACCTGAGTTGCCTGCAGGGTGCAACTGAGATGCTGACACCAGGGTTAGGAAGGAGCCTGTTACAAATTTCCACAGCATATCCAGGATATTAGTCTGTCCCCTCTGCCTTGTAGAGAGTTGTGTCATATACTATCCACTTTTGCTTTCAAAAGCAGGCAGCCTCTGAGCCTGAACTCAGAGGTCCTTTGATAGTTTTCTTTCTCCAAGCCCTGTTGCACCCTAATCTCCTTGATTTTGCATATGGGTAAGATAGGTGTGGCGGAAATAAATTTTCTTTGATGCAGGTACGTTCAGATGGTGGCAGTTTCCAGGTACTCTTGTCTGGCATGAGAAAGTGAATCAGAAATCTCACCTACACTTAACAGCATGGGTGCATACAGCTGAGCTTGTCATCTTAAGTTGCCTTTAGAGTCAACGGAGATAAATAGGCATGGGTTGTGATTTTTCTCTCCTGAATATAGACATCTACTTTCGGATGTTCGTGTACCCCTCACGGACTCTGGCAGAGGCTTTTGTGTCTAAGTTTTTACTGCTCCACACTGTATAATGTGACTTTCTGCATAGCACAACAATCTATTCCAATAGGCACGTACCAGCACCTCTTAATGGTACTGCAGTGCAGTGGGAATGGCATAGATCAGTGTGTCTCAGCCTTCACTAGTTCATATGCACATTATTAGTACAGGAAGCATCATCAGCTTGTTTCTGTCTGTCCCAAGACATGTGAATACTTCCCCGTGGCTGCAGGTAGTGTCAGAGGATCTCAGAATGGTGAGTCAGAAACAAGGGATCATTTTTGTGCAGTACCATAGCAAGGCCTAGACTGAAGAAAGACCAGGGGTTACACCTGGGGAAAATTCTAGTTTCATGGCGCAGCACCTTTCTGTACTACCCATGTTTGTCCTCCTCCTTGCCTCCTAATTGCATGCAGCACAAAAGTTGGCAAGTGTATTGAAGGTGTGTAATGGTGTAGATGCCTTTTCCTCAAGGACACAAGAGAACGGAATTTTTCCAGCCTATTTCACGCAGACTGCCAACCTATTCTGTCCATTTTAACAAATCAGTTCTCCTGTTGTCCTGCTGTAATTGCTGTGTCCCACTACAGGACTATATACAGAGCAGTTGGACAAGGCTCTTGTTTGAAATTTTGTTGACAAACCAGGGAGGAGCTTTGGTGTTCTTCCCTGCTCTGGTATAGCCAGTGAGAGCATTGCCAGGTGGCTCTTCCTCCCCAACAAATCCTGTGTTGGGATCACAAATCTCCTTACGGAACTGTTTCTGCCATGAAGATGCAGCCCTAGATGTGCAGCCACAAGACTCACTCCTCCCACTTCCTGCTTCCTCCCTGTCAGGCACTGAATTCCCAACTGTCTCCACTTATTCAATAATAACAGTAACGTCACTGCCACAACAGCAAGCAGGAAGATGATACATGCAGAAGAAGTGACAAGCAGGTAATCATCTGACTTTGAATTCCTATTAAAATGCCAAGCCATATGCATGTGACAAACCCCACGTTCTAGGTCTGTGTGCTAAAAGGAGGAATTGGAGATGAGGTTCGCTGGTTTTCCCACACTGGATGCCCAGCACAAACTGGTCCACAAAGTGGCCAAACAATGTACTTTTAACCTAGAATGTCTGAACAGTTTGAACTTGTAGCACATTGCTGTGTCTGCAGATCATGTGAGCAGATAGGTTCACTTTGAAAGAGATTGCATTGCCAGTGTTGTAGCCAGATAAACAGGAGATAAAAATATTTATGCAGGTTCCCAGATGGTTTTGTAGCCCATGCTGTACAACACAGCGCTCCAGGAGCACTCCTAGGAGCTTTGCAGTGCAGTACTGGGAGGTGAAACTGACTTGGGTGTATCTGCACTAATGACTAAAATTCAATAACTTCACAGTAAAAATATCCCTATTGTTTGCCCTAGGTGTCTTGGAGGTGTTATCCAGGTGGATGTCTCTTGGGAACTTGCTGGAGTTGCTGTTTATTCCTGTCAGCTGCTTGAAACTCTGAATCTCCTTGAATATTTATTGTATTAGTACCTCCCCCTGGATATTTTTTTCCTTTTGTAGCTCCTGAGGCTGACTTTTTTTAATCTTTAGTGTAGTTTCAGGCATATCAAAGCCTCTCTTGTCAGAAAACTTCTAAAGTGTAGGTTGAATCATTATTAAACCAGAGGGAGTGTATCAGAAGTCACTTGTAATTCTGTTCTGTTTGCTGTCTGTCTGAGATACATGGATAGTTCCCCAGTCCTTGGCACCTCCCCTGCACCGCTTGTGACTGGTCACTAGTTTCACTTGGCACTGAATCTGTAGCAGCTCCAGAGCCAGTATGGGCACATTGGCCCTGGGTGAGGGTGCAGGGCTGGTCACTCCTAGCAAACAATGGCTGATTGTGTATATGTTTTCCTTTCCTTTAGGAAAGGACTCTGTATTGTCTACGCTGAACTCTCATCTCATTTACCTATTTTCTACAGCTTCTTGTTTTTGCGTGGTCACTGCACCCAAACTGATTGAACAGTCCTGACTCTGCTCAAGTTGCTGAAATGCATACAAATAATACTGTAAGGAGTTTAAAGAAGGTACCTCTTTGCGTGATGAAGATGGCGAAAGCCCAGATCTGAATAACACAAGTTTGGGATTTAAAGATCCCTTTGTTCCATCTGATGGTTTGCAATGGCATGTTGGGGAAGGGTACCATTGTTACTTACAGTCTTGTGAAAAGAAAGGAACAATGCACTAACGGGCTGCTGGGATATTTTTGAATACCAGTCTTTCTCAAGTACCACACTTTTTAAGGGGATCTGAGGAAGCAGACTCCTTTTTAGCACTTACTGTGCTAAAAAGAGTATACCTGGGGTAGGTATACTCTTGCTCCCTTCGTGTGGTTCCAGCCCAAATTGCTCCATGTGCAGGCTAAAGATAGCCAGTGGAGACTGGTGGAAGTAGCTCTTTCTCCTCTGAGATCACTTGCTCTATATTTGCTCAGTTCTCACCCTTGTCCCAGTGTTTGGTCAAGAGCAGAGTGGATGAGTGAGCCAAAGCTGAATCAAGGGTCAACGACTTGATTCCACATACAGTTATCTTAAGTAATTTGTACATCATTTTCCCCATCTATAAATGGAATACTAACGCTTGTCTGACTCACAGGGAGCTTGAGAACATAGTTAATGTCTGTAAAGTACATGGGGATCTTTGAATAAGGATACTTAATTATTTATTCACCACAAAAAAGCGTTGTTTTTGCTGACATTTTTTTCCTTGTTTTGCAGGATATTGGAGTGGTCTGCAGAATATGAGTGCTCCAGTGCAGCCACCTGACACCAGTGGCAGTGCACAGCAGCTGAACAAACCCTAGAATTATGTAATGATTAACAGAACCTTTTGCTTTATTTTCTAGTGTACGTTATTCCGTATTTGTGAGCAGTTCATACCCCTTTTGCTCTTAAACATGTGGGAAAAACAGTAACACTATATTTGTTTAAGTGTTGCATGAAAATATTAGATACTTATGTTTAATAATATTTAATGTTTATACTTTCAATCTCAAAGCATAAAAGATCCCACAGAGCTTATTAGACACTGTAAAATGACAAACAAAATATATTTGAGGTCCAAACTCAACAGTGACATGCAATCATCTCTAATGGATAAGAAAAACAGCTGAATAACAGAATACAGCAGTACCAAGTAAGAGTTCAGCTCTGTAAATTAATAAACTTTATGGGATGTGGTACTACTTTTTCACAAACTATATATGATCGTTATTGACTCTGTGCTCTTTTTTGACTGTTTCTGGAAGACTAAACATCTTAGAATCGTAACAGATATAAGGGTGAGAGTGAAGCATATCCAGTCACTGACATCTGATCTTTACATTCATATATAAGCTTGTATGGTTAGACGGAGTGTCTGTGCATATGCTTCTGTTTGGTGTTTTATCATGCCATATGTGCTTTGAGAGGCTGATCCCTTGCAAGAGTTGTAACTATTTTCTCTGAAATTACTCATTTGAAGTCAGTGTAGTAGAACACAATCCTTGAGAAAGTGAAGTTATATCTATCACTACCATCGCTCTTGAAATGTCTTGGATCCTCTGCTAGAAAAAATCTTTAGTGTGGCAGGGGTACCTGACCCAAAAACCTCACAATCAAGAGTGATACAAGCAAGGAGGGATGTGAGCAGACAGGAAAGTACAGGAGAGTTAGACCATACTGTCTTTGATCAACTTCCAACTCTTGTCCTGTTATTTGCAAGCTTTATTGCAGTGAAAATTCTATAAAAGACAAAGATGTACCTGCATGGATGTTTAAAGGACAGCACAAAGACACCTTTTCTGAAAATCAAACTAGGTGCAAGAAAGTGTGATATTATTGGGCAATTTAGGTGAGCAATAACTGGTTACAAAGAGTACAAATTTATTGATGGAGTAAGTCAAGAAGCATTTGATATTATAGAGAACAGGGCCTAAGGGGAAACACAGAAATACTCTCAAATGTGAAGATAATACCTAGCTCTGGGTATAAATGACCCATAATGCTTTCCCTTTCAAACTGAGAAAGGAGATAGCAGAGGTGATTTGTTGCAGAAAAGGGAAAAATTAAGAATTTTATTTTAAAATTTTCCTTTTTATTGAATACCTTATGAAAAATTATAGGACAGTTTTATCAAAAATTACGCCTTTGCATTTTACTAGAAATAAGAAGTATTCTGGTGCCAGGATTCCTGCCCAGTGGAACAAGACTGCCATCTCGTGTTAAATGTGTGCAAATCTCAAGACTTACCTGCACTGTTCATAGGCAAGGAAAGTGGGGGAGGGAGTGGAGGAATGGTATGTTCCCGGTGGAAAAGATTGTCAAGGGTTCTCGGAATTTTGTATGCTTTGTAGTGTTTAACGCATGTTCAGTAGGTCCAAATGTCTCTGCTTGTTTCAGGCTTTACTATGACGTAAACAAGAATCTTTCAGGAAATGTTCTACAACTTGATGGAGAAGTCAGCTTGAACTGTACTTTAGAAACCAACTGCTGAAATAGGTCATTTCAGTAGATGTTCTACAAATAGTTATTAGTTCAGGCATGCTGTATAGCAGAAGAGACATGACCTTAGATGTCACTTATTTATTTATTCTATTCCAGCTTATCACTCATTAGCAGTACAATTAGGTATTGACTATGTAATTCAGGTAAAAGTTTGCGGTCTAGGAAATGCCCTCATTAAATTCCCTTCTTGGCTATAAAACTCCTGTGTCTCTGGGCAAGGTCTGTGGCATCATAAAGGATGTTTTGGGTGTTCAATTCTGTTTCATGCTATCCATGAAGCTATCTTATCAACCTCCTCCAAAGTCCTTTCTAAAACCCCTGCTCAACAGCAGCTAGATTCCTAAGTCTATATGAGAACCTGGTCCTTGTTCTCTTTATTTGGAAAATGACCATATTCTTCTGTATTTCACAGGAGTGTTGTGAGGATCAACATATTAAAGACTATGAGGATTTGGGTACTCTAGTAGGAAAGGCCATGCACGCTTTTCAGAAAGATATGATGTTCATGACCTATACATTCGTATCAGCATTAACTCATATAAGTGCAATTAAGTCATAACTGCTTATCATTTCATATTTGTTGTTCTCCTGCTTTAATATTTTCAGTTATTGAACCTAGGGTAGAGACAATGCCAACAGTCAATTCAACAGTCATCTAGCCATAATGAATATACCCAGTCCAAGAAAACATTTTACAGATGGTCCATAACTGTGTTTATACAAACAGTTTGATGAATATTTGAGTGATTCAACGTATTTATATGGATTAGGAAAGACTCACAAATCCTTTTATATCTGAGAAATGGCTTAAATGTTTTAAATGTTTAGCTTGATCTGATTTGACAGCATTCTTATTTATTAATAAGAATAATTAATAAATGATGTAACATGAATGCAGCTAAAATATGATTTGGGCTTTATTTCAGGGGTAGTTTTTCTGATTCTCCTCTTGTCTGATCTGTTATGACTCACCTTGTATTTGCTTAATTCAAATATAAGAGCTTGTGATTGCTGGTTCAGAATTGATGTATATCCTATTCAGAACCAGACTGTATTCATTTTATACATCTTAGAGAGCATTTAGGGGACTATACTGCACGCACTACCACTATATGCTGCCTTTTGTTTAAATGCAGATGGTGTTCCTGTGTAGCTTCAAAGTTTAAATTTACTACAAAGGGTTGGCATTTTCCAGGAGTTTGGTGTTATTGCTGGCTGTTAAGACCTTCTTACATATCTCTGTTTTTTGCTATTGGTTCCTGCTAAGTGAAAACCCCTCTGCTGTCCACATGAAGCTTAGGCTGGAGATTCTAAGTCTTATGAGCAGAATGAGTCTGCACCCGTAGTCTCCCTGTTGGTATCTAGCACCAAGCTGCAAAGTGGGACAGCACCATGATCTTGCTGCCTGGCTGTATGTGCAAACTGCGATACTGGAGATATGTGGATAATAAATGGACATGGGAATCGTGAATGGTAGATATTTCAAGGAGGTGTCAGGAGGAGCCATCAAAATGTGCTGGATCTGGAACTATTTGGAATTTTAGTCTCTTTTTTCCTTTCTCATTAGACTAAAGATATTAATCTAATACTCCTAAACCTGCCCAGAAGAATTCTCTGAACATAACTATTCTGCATTATTTGCCCTTCTGAAAAAGAAAGCACTAGCATGCTGGAAGGGCTGGTTGGGAATCATTGCCCTCAGTGGATATCTGCAGTTTTTCTTCTGGCACTGAATCCAGGTCTCGCACTTTCTGCCCAGTCTTGGCAACTGTGAATCTGCTCATGTGCAGAGCTTCTTCATAGACTGGAGGAGTGTCTGATCCAGAGAGGGGTGGTGTTCCCTGCATAGCATTATGGGAGTGTGCCACTGCTAATATCCTTCTGGCTGCAGGCCCAAACACGGAATGGAGAGCTGCAAGGGAGGAGACAAAAGCGATTTGCCTCATCCTGAAAGCACCAACCGATTAGGAAAGGACAAGCATATCTGCAGTGCACAGGCTTTCCTCTCTTCAAGGACTGAATGTTTTCCTCTTCTTCTGCCTTCATTTCCCCCCCTCTCCACCCTCACAGCCTATGTGGGAAGCTACCATCAGCCACATCCTATAATTACTCCCTCAAATGCCCAGCAAGGCTCCTATAGCTGCCCTCTTTCCACCCAGACATGTCTCCCAGCCCTGGCTGATTTACCATCTGTCTGGGATTGCTATATATGGTCTTGTGAGGACTTCAATGTGTCCTATTTATAGATACTGTTTTCCTAGTGTCCTATGAAGAGCTTCCCTCTGCCGTTCCAGCCAGGCACTTTGAGATGTCTAAGATGATCTAAGCTTTTTACAGTGCAGCCTCTCACAATGGGGTGTGCTTGGATTATCACCTCTCTTGAAGCAGACTCACAGGTAATGGTGCTCTGGAGGGTGCTGTCATGGTCAAAAGCAATGACTGTAACCTCATAGGGCTGAGGACCTGATTCCTCCCCTGTCTGACGGAGATGAAAACAGCATCTCACACAGGCTGAAACCAGGCCACACAGGAGCAGCAGCCCACCAATCACAACCGCTAGCCTAGAAAGGGAGAGAAAACAGAGTTAAAACAAAAAGATTTTGGCTGGAAGGGGCCTAACGGGTGAGATCTCTAATCCAACTCCTTGCTTAAAGCAGGTCTAAGTTCAAAGCTAGATGAGGTCATCTGGGGCCTTGTTCAGCAGAGTTGGGACAGTCTCCACAGTTCCACAGATGGAGATGCCATGGTACATCTGGGCACCTGCTCCACCCTCAGGAGGAAGCATTTGCTCCTTCTGTCTAATCAGAATTTCCCTGGCTGCAGCCTCACCTGTTGCCTCTGCTCCTTCCATTGTGTACTTCTGAGAGGATTCTGGCTCCATCTTCTCTATAAATCCACTTTAAGTTGCAGAGAACTGCAATTAGATCCCCCTGCCCCTAGCCTAATGCAGACCTAACAAACTCACTTCTTTCATCCTCTCCTCATACATAATGTGCTGCAGCCCTCTGACCATTTTATCAGCCATCCACTGGACTTGCTCCAGTTTGTCAACATCTGCTTTGTATTAGGGGCCCAAAACTGGACCAGGTATTCCAGATGTGTTCTCAAGAGTGATGAGCAGAGAGGAAAATCATACCCCTCAATCTGCTGGCTGCTATCTTATTAATGCAGCCTGGTAGGTTTCTAACTACTGCCATCCTTTTTAACATACACATGTTAATGATAACTACTGAGAAATCAGACTGAAACTACTAAATAAGTGGGCCCTTAAAAGGCATTTCAACATCATGAAGGCTTTATTAATATTGTGTATCCAACAAAATTAATGCATATGCTAAAAATGGATGCCTGTGAAGGTGAGTTAACCATTTGTCGAAGGTGATGCGAGGGCTAAGGGGTTGTAGTGCTACTTTAGAGCAGTAAAGGGCACAAAGAAAAAGCAGTGATATCATCGTGCTTCAGCTAGCTACAGGATATTTAATTCCACTTTTTGCTACTGTAATTGTCAGATGATGCAGATATTTAGAGTAAGTATATGCCATCTTACCAGATATACCACAGACGAACCCATTCGGTGCCTGAACAACTGAGGAGAAGAGGGTACAAGAGATAATTAGTCACAGAAAATCAAAGAATTGGGAAGATCCCTGTAGTATCCTTTTCCATCTTCTCTTACACTTCTCACTTACATTCCAGCTTCTGAAAGGCACAAATGAAGAGGAATCCACTGTGCTTCATGGAGGAGACAATTTCCAACCTCATCAATCTCCCTTTAGGGGAGTTTCCCTTCTGTTCAGATTTATCTCTGTGTTGTTCCCCTTATACTAATGCCTCTCCAATTCTGTTTGCAAACCTTAGGGATTTGCACAGTGTTATAATTTCTGAACTTCTCTTCTTTTACATTTTTTTTTTCCACATTTTAATCTTCTCAACCCTGTTATATTTTACTTTGCCTTTCTGACTTTCTCTCTTATTCTTTCTAGCCCTGTGGGTACCTTTGGATGTTGGTTTGCGTGTTTCTTTAGTTTCAATTAGTAGACCTTCCTGCAAGTTTTTAAAAGACATTTCTTTAGTAAAAATAGAATTCTCCTAGGCCATTTTTCTTTCTTGTTTTGCCTTAATTTCTGTTATTCTTACAAATGCCATTACCAAGAGGAATATTCAGCAAAACAGTGTCTTTCAAACCATTTTTTTTCATGGAAGCTTCAATTCTGATTTCATAATTTAAGTCAATCAAAATTAAGCCCAAAAGCTGTTAGCCATTACATTTATTCAAATGGGGACCAGAAACAATACCACCTAATCAATATGATGAATAGAAGTGATCAATATGGTTCACATTCAAAGCAATGGAAATTTTAAGTGAGTTTTCCATAGTGGCAATTAAATAAGCTTTTCCAGAAAATGTCTGCTGCCGTGTCGTAACATTGATGTCCACTACTGCCTTTCTCCTCTATTATCTTCTTAAAAGAATGCAAGATACTCACAGTTCAGCATTCACGCAACCTTCCTCACCTCTTACTGGGGGGAACTAGGAGAATAAAAACAAACAAGGCACAGGCAGAATAAATTAAGTCTATGTCATATGCAACTTTTGTCTCTCACCCAGAGTAATATCAGTCTCAATCTCGAACAACAAGGACTCATTGATAGCCACCTTCTACTCTTCCCTTCAAGGACTCTACCGTAGATTGGAAATTATTGTGATACCAACTGCAGTGCTTCATATCTTACCTTCCCTGTTTCCAGCAGAGTCATTAAAATCCTGCTTAACACTGTGTGCCCATTATAGACCCCAAGTTCTCTTCTATTTTCTTACTACAGACTTTGTCAGACTACAAATACAAATTCTTCTCAAATATTGCTCAAATATTAAGAACAATCAACATCCTGCTGCTCATTATGCCCATACGGGTTTGAATTCTACTCTATTTTTCTATGTAGCAACCTGTTTTATAACCTTCACACCCTTCTCGTTCTTCTGTCTCAGATACCCTGATCTGCATTCTACTCTCACTGGGACAGCAGCAGAGAGTCTTCTGTGTGTATCCTCTTTTGTATGGCCAATATCTTTATCAGGGAAATTCTTATGGTTATCAATCACTAACACTCCTCCACCTTTCTAATGCAAAGCCCCAACTGAACAAAGACCGCATAAAAAGGAATTTGAGATGTGACTTACCCATAAGAAGCACTCTAAAGCAAAGCAGATCACAACTGGGCTGTGAGTCCCCATGGAGTGATTCTGTAGCATCTTGTTGTCTCAGGTAGCTCAGGGCCTGTTTCTTCTTTCTAGCTTCAGTTAATCCTGATGCATCCACTGACTAAGAGAAGGGGTAGATTCCTTGCTGTGTATTGAATCCTGTCTCTGCTTCACAGCTTGCCTCTTTCTGTCCTCCTCTGGGTCTATCCTGCTTCTCTGCCCTCAGGTTCTTAGTTTTTCTCTTTCGCTCTGTGTCACTCTATTAATTCCTATTTGTTTCTGCCTACCTTCTTTACTTATTCTTTTGGCCACCTTCTTTTCCTCTTTTGAGGGAATCTCTAAAACCTTCCAGTCAGAAAAGCTGTGGCTACAAGTTCTTACTTTTGGTATGGAACTAAGTCAGGGAAGGGTATCTTGAAATCTCTGCAGACCTGACCTTTCCCTTCTGTGAGCAGAAAGGGTCTCTGAGTTTGTTCATTCCTACTTTTCCTTTCCCCGCCCCTACCCTGAGGGAGACTGGGGAGAGTTGAAGGTCATGTTACTGACCTGTTTAAATGGAGATCAGATCCCTCTCCCTCCTCCACTACCCTTTCTGTCCCTGCACTCATATTGTCCTACCTCTGCTGATCCAACATGTTGACTTTAACCAGGGTCAAAAGCCCATGCTTCGAGTGTGATGTTCCTGCTAAAGTGGAAGTCTGCAATGTAAAAAGTAAGTTTGCACAGCATTATATATGTATTTACAATACAATGCCACTTGCATCTCATTTTAAGGCTCTTCCATCATCCTTTTCACCTGGAAGTCTCCTGCTATGCTGGTCCTGCAACTCTGCCAGTCTGCCTACTCCTCTCTGATAGGCCCCAGGCCTGAATTATTTCCCACATGAACAGTCAAGTCCCCCAGATGCTTTGAATCCCAGGGATTACATGTTATTTCTCGTGTCCTGGTTACTATTCTTCCTGCAGGTGGTAAAATTACTAGCTTCCTTTCAATGACCCATTAATTTTCCCTCTTTTCTAGAACTGCTTTAGATTACTAATGCTGGTCCTGACTCTTCAGAACATGATTGCGTGTATATATTGTGTTCATCTTCTCTTTTTCTTTTGAATAACAGAGACAGAAAAAATGTTGCGCGGTAATGTGTTACTATTTGTGTTCAGGAACCACCTGCGACTGGTGTATAAATATATATTAACAGCAGGATAATCAGGAACTCAAGCACTGTAGCAACTAGAGAGTCTTGTTGCTACATGTTGCAATCACAATGCAACATGTAGCAAGGAGACATACACATTAAGTTGGTGAATTATTAGCCTTGGTGATGCATTTTAGGGGCACAGAGCAGAACAAACGGATTCATGAACATAATATATTTTCACAAGGCAGGCTAAAAACATTTACCATTCTCTAATTATAAAAGTAGTGGTGCAGTATAAGCATGCATTAGCATCAAATTGCTTATATATTTATCAATCTATCTAATTTTGTATTCAAACTGGTCTGCTGCTGGAAAGAGGCATCTTAGTCCTGGTGGACGAATAACAAGCGCAGAAACATGAACTAAAGGCTTTGTGTTTATGTGGGGACTGGACAAGATTCCTTTTCTCTCTTTTCCCTTAAATTCTTTTGTGTATTATAGGGTTTTTAGAAGAAAAGACCCATCAAAACTGTAAAATAATTTTTATTGTATGTACAGCATTTAACACTGGTGGGGTTCAGTGTGGAAAAAAAGTGAAAATTATCAGTGTTTTTAAGAGGCTTTATTATCACTATGAAAACTCTAAACAAAAGGTTACCAGTTGAATTTTAACTGAAATTCTATCTGATGAGAATCTCAAATTTAGAAGGATCGAACTGGAGAAATAACAGTGATAAAGTGATAAAGAATTCTCTAAAGAAAAAGCAGCACTGAGACCTGAAGCAGTGACCACTCTAAAAGCATGCCATAATTTATTCTTGCTGAAACTTAATGATCATCCTTTTTCTATTTCTATGATATTACCATTAATATTGTTGTTCCAAACACCCATTTATTGCACTGCTAGCCTATCATCCAACAATGGTCTAAATTTCTCCACATTCACTTCACAGTTTACTGCATTTATTTCAAGATTTTATTTTATATTTTGATTTGTTTTATACTGAAGTGAGTTCTCACTTTATATTTCCCTCTTACCACCTTTCAAAAGGTTTTGCAAATGTGATCAAACTCTTACAGAATTGCTAAAACAAACAAAATAACCCACCATTGACTTTTCACTGTTCTCTCCTGTTTTTTAAAATGTTCCAGATTACGCTATGTGATTTGCGCATATCCATCCTTAGATACCAGATAAAGCAGATTGGTGTATGGACAGATAATACTTCCATCCACTCTTAGCTCCTCTGCTCATGGTAAATCAAGTGATGCATGTCAAGCCCATTCTAATGTTTCTTTCTTAGGTAGCATGATCTTAACTGGAAGTTGAGCTCCTCAAAGAACTAAAGTAATGTTGTTGTACTGTTCTTAAAAGCTGTTGAGAAATTGCTACTCATTCCCTGTTACTCTTCAAAGGAGTATTCCATTAAAACCAGCTTGATTAGTCATGTCAAATATTTTCCCTTGGTCAATTACAAATGTAAAATATGAAATACATTTGGGACTCACAGGCACCTCTGATACTTTTGCAGCTGCAGCAAGACTTTATTATGGCTTTCATGTGTTTTTATTGGATGATAATAATCCAAAAGGACTGCTTGCTTGTAAAATAAAACCAGATCTTTATTGACTGAACCGCGTACAAAGAAACAGCGTAGCTGGTCGTGGTTCTTTCTCCACATACTTCCCATTCACGTTTCATGCTCTTTCCGCTGAGGTCACAAGGGTTCTTACCTCCCCTTTACAGAAGGTGCGAGGTGGATTCAAAACCAACAGTTCACTGGAGTTTGGCAAAGACGCTCCTAGAAATTAACATTTATTATATATACCCCTCTGCCCAGATGCTGGAGTCTAAGTCACTGTGCTCATTTTTTCCACTATAAGATAAAAGACTGAAATGTCTTCAGTCCTGTACCCAGGAAGCTCTGATCTCTCATGGACTGGGAATGTTCCAGATAAAATGTCATGCTAGGGAATAGTGTTCTGTATTATTTGATACTGTTCATTGGTTCTACTGATTAACAGCTCATGAGAAGAGCAGTTACTGGCATGTATGTGGTAGTGCTGTCTGTGACAAAACAGGAGATTCACCTCTCCGAGATTCCTGTCTTTTTGCCAGCAGACCTAGAAATACCGGGACACCTGGGACTAGTTAAATATTTCCATGTTATTCCTAGCACTAGACATTCAAGGAAGCATGGCACAGACCCTCAAGCTGGCAGGTTACCTCCCTTTAGATGCAGTGCAGTCCGAGCACAATGACCTTCTGCTGTACTCAGTTAATCAGTCTTGCTAAAAGGCAGGGTGAGAGGTGTGAATGTGCCTGCTGTTTCCAGGCCAGAGCTAGTATAGAAGCAGTGTCATAATCTGTTATGTGATTTTTCTACCCAGACTCTCCATTAGTTTAACAGGTTTCTTCAACTCACTCCTTTTCTTGCAGTGCAGACATGCTTAGAATGGCAGCTGTAAAACCTGGGTTAATTTCTTCATGTCCTAGCAATAGATAATGGCTATGGCAAGTCCGTGTACTGCCCCATCAAAGTCAGCATGATGGCTCAGAGCAGGGGGGATCAGTATGATTCTCACTTGATGTTATCTTCATTCTTCCTCCACCATCTGAGCCAATGAGATCTGGGAGCCCCTCTAGTTGAATTTGCTGAATATTAATCACTGTGTAATAAAGCCAGAAAACACACTCCCTGTACCTCCCACCCTACCCCCCTCCC